ACTTCACATTGATAATAATTTCCCCAATATAATAACAAACAAGAAGAAGCTGCATCAGCATCTATGTCAACATTAATGCGATTTTCATCATTCCCCTCAAGAAAATAAAGCGCGATTACGCCTTGAGTCCATAAAAATGGCGACCTTCTGAGGATAAAGAAACATTTCCTGCATCACTTGAGAATTTTCATCACCCAAATTCTGCAATTATTGTGCTTATTTACAAATCCATTGAGCCAGAAATGCGCTTCTTATGAAAAAATTATTTTTCCCCAAAATGTGAATCAAGTTCCAACTGCTTTAAAGGCCTGTTTGCGAAAGTTTGACATATGTATACAGGGTGTCCCATAAGCACCTGATGAAAAACGTACTACGACATTCTTTGGGTCAAAAGAAGACGAATTGACTTAACTTCCATTAAGAAAAAATTTCTGGCTCTTCTGCTATTGACTGTTAAAGTTCTTGAAAAAAAATATGTTTTTTGTAATATCTGGAGAATGGTAAGATGGATTCTAATGAAACTTGCTGTGGACTTGTTCCTAAGCAAGGCTCATGTTTTGATGAAGTAACCGCGTCCATCCGCCTTGGGCTAGTAGTAAATTCTTGAGTGTCATGGTACAAGAATTACCAGAACTTTTTATTTGGTGGCTGGAATCAATTCGTTTTATTTTTATTGATGCATCAGTCCTTTTTCGAGATTTTCATGCTCTTGGTAAAATCTTGTAGCATTCATAGTTTTTAAGCAAAAAAATTTTTTCCATTTTAGACAATCATTATCACTACTACTCAAGTAGAACAAATACTCACTACAATCACTACTATCGCAGTAAGTATCTTGTTAAAATCTTTTACCATTCATAGTTTTTACGCAAAAAAAGTTTTCTGTTTCGTTGTGGCAATTTTAGATGTATCGCAATAAATCTGCCCTTTTAGAAGAAGCAGCTTTTTCTAAAAATAATTGCCAATTCTTTTGCCTAGGATATCAATATTGAAAGTAAAATGGTCACAATTTTAAAGTTTGTCGCAATACGACGGACTGTATATCATTTTACATTGTTAACACTCAAAAAATGTAAAGACGTACTTAGGAAAGACATAATTCTCTTTATGAAAACTGGATGATAGTTACATAGAAACGATAGATGATGGTGGAATTACAAAACATGTTCGATATGCCCCCCGATTGAAATTGAATTGAGCCCTCCTCAACATTTTTGAATCATTCCGTATTACGTCCGCCTCGTTTTGAATCCTACGCAATAATTCTTCCTGGGATTCCACAGGAGAAGCGTAAACTTATTCTTCAAGGCTCCCCATAGAAAAAAATCTAACGGCGTTAAGTCAGGGTACCTGGGGGGCCATTCGACAGGAACGTATCTCCCTCTTCTTCCGATCCACTTGTGTGGAAAAGTATTATTTAAATGTGCAATTACATTTGTACTAAAATGTGGAGCAGCACCATTGTGCAAGAACTACATCTGAGCACGAAGATCGAGAGGGACATCTTCCATTAGAACCAGAAAGGTATTCGTTAAAAAATTGAAATAATTTTCGCTATTCCAGCGTCGCAGCATGACATAAGGCCCCAGAAGGATGTCACCGATGATCCCGACCCAAACATTTATTGGAAATTCCACCTGAAAGAGGTTAATACGCCTCGCATGAGGGATTTCTTCAGCGTATTGGTGAAAATTACGTGAACTAAAGATACCACTTCTACCACAATCGTCTTCTTTTGAGCCAAAGAATGTCGCAGTACCTTTTTGATCATGTGCTTATGGCACACCCTGTACATATAGTGATCAGCTGGCTTTCAGCTGGTTCTTGAGTAATTTGGTCTTTATAAGCCTTTAGATAAAGATCGTGATGCAAAATTCGCCAGATGGTCGACTGAGGAAGTTCTTGAGAACTATGGAAAATAGAGATTTTCTTACACTTTGGCTTATAGCAACGATGTACTCCTGTGATCGGACAATCCGAGGACGCACAGGTGTTGACCCCGTTTTTCAACTAAACGACAGAGACCGTTCGGTTTGTCGATTATATTGACCATAAATTGCTCGCAATGCGTGAAACGTCTGACAAACGGAACACTTGTTTTGATGGTAAATTTGAATGAATTCTACACGCTGTTGATTTGTATATTTTTCCATGATAACTTGCCACTAATGCACAGTTGTCAATGTTTGACATCAACATTCCGAGCCATGTTGCCATCATTACATTTCAAAGTTCTGGCATCCTTATGGAAAACTCTTTTTATACATATATTTTTTTAATAATTTTAACACTTTTTGAAGCAGCCTACTGTATGCCAATAGCTATTTTAATATGTAGGTCCTAAAAAATTTCGAAAATCTGTTGCGGTATATGGGGAAATTCCATTAAAAATCTGTTCTATATTTAATAAATATGTAAAATTGAACACAATTAAGTAAAGGCAATTATTTAAAACAATAATGTTAAAAAAATAATTATTCACATGTATGCAAGGTTGTTTAAAAAAAATTAAACGTATCTTGGAAAAAAGAAGTTTAATTAATCAAACCTGTTATATTCAATATTAACACGAAATTTTGTATTTTATTAATCGTATTGTCTGAAGTTATTTATTTGTTTACGTTTCGGAAATCTGTTTTCGTCTTCTGAACTTATTCCGACTTTTCGTTTTAGTTTCTTTTGACAGTTCAAATTTGTTAGCTGTTATCTGTTTTCCTAGCTAGATGATGCTGATTATTACTTATTATTATTACTATTATCACTTATTTCATCTTTTAGACTTTTTAGCCACTAAGAAATCCAAGTTCATAGATTAATTTAAAACACCTTTCATTATTCAACAAAATAATCGCGGCTGCTTTTAATTTTCTTTTAACAGTACCTACTATTTTTCTTTTAAAAAATTTTAGCCGAATCCCATTGAATTATATCATCGTTTTCCCAAGCGTAATTGCAAATTTTTTATTTAATTAATTTCTCAAATTTTGTTTTTTTAATATAATTTTTGTGTTCATCTATTTTAATATTTACAGGTCGATAAGTCTCTTTCAGCATAATGTTTATTGCATTCACAACGTATGCTATAAATGCAATTTTTTGAATTTTGAGAATCATTATTTGGGCGCATCTTTGCCAATAAAATCCGTTAAGTATTAGTTGTCTAGAAAATTATTCTAATGTTATTTTTGTTTTTTCTTCTTCTTTTTTTTTCTGGTAGTTGCGGGATTTTGGATTTTTTTTTTTGGTTTTATTTTTCTTTTTTTTTTTACCGGATTTTTTTTTCTTTTCGTTGTTTTTTTTAAAACGGGTTTCCCAGGTTCCTATTGCTTGTTTATTAGTACATTTTTTATGAAAATCAATTTATTATTAAAAATTTAATCTTTTGGTTCAGTCATACAAACATCTACTACATTTTTTTATGTGAGTATGATGATTCAAATTATAATTTAGATATCTGTTAATGTGAACTGTGAGTTGGTTTTCTATAAACTCTTGTTTCTAAATAATTCCAATTTTTTTTTAATTTAAATACCTGAAAACGGCAATGTTTTATTGCTTTCTATTTTCAAAGTAAATTTAATTGTTGGCTCCTTGTTATTAACATTATCTAGAAATATATTTAATTCCTCGATTGTGTTGAAAATGGCGTCTTTGTGCACAAATACACTTTTCTATACATCTCCCTTAAATATTGCTGTTATGATAAATCTGTTGAGACTTTATTTTTAAAAGTTTAACAGCTTGTCTTTCATATTTAAGAAATTATTCTCATTCAAATAATGTGTGTGATCAGATTAATTTGCTTTTAAATTAATTTTTTATAATTGACTTGTAACGGAAGTTTCATTTTCATATAGGTTTTAAGGCTTTTATTGCCCGTGATGATATTTAAAGTACGATGGTTTCTCGAGTTATGTCATGACCTGGTCAGCGCCAGTTATATGGCATGTCCTTAGCCTTTGATCTACCTTTGTAGGATCTCTAGACTCTCCCTGATGTTCATTTCGGTTCTCGTTAGTTTTAAGGTCCTTATGAGGAACCGCTTTTGAGATAATGGTGTTCCTCTGAGATATTCTGTAATGGCCTCTGTAACTAATCATATCTAATGCTTCCAAATTTCCTCATTCTTCATTGACGGCATCATCAGGCAAATCTATGAAATTAATTTAGACAAGTCTGAGAAAAAAAACATATAAAAAGGAAAATTCTTATTGAATTCCAATGAATTTTAGAGCATAGCCTATCCACGAGTCCTCCCCTACAAAACCTAGCCCGAGTACAACAAGGGTAGGTCAAAAAATCCCAGTTAAGACTAAGCAAATACATTACAAGTTCGTAAGTAGTGTGTGTGTACATAGTCCACGGCATAACAATCCGAAAAATCATCGTACTTTAAATATTGTAGGCGAAAACTATAGTAAATAGAAAGAAACAACGTAACTATTTTTTATAAATAACAAATGACCGTGACTTTTTACATTGACCATGGTACGTACAATTTAAATGAAATGCAAATTCAGTAACGTATTTTAAATGACTCATTTCAAATTATCGAGAAATAAATTCAGGTTATATTATTCGCACTATCGTCAGTTTCTCAACTCATTATCGTTCACCACAATATTCTACAATGTATTTTATGTAATTTATTAGATCATTAATACTACTAAAGAGGTACGAACAACGATTTAAGTACCGCTTTTTCCCTTACAAAGTACAAGAACAACAACAACACCAGCAGCAGCAGCAGCAATAGTAACAACTAAGGTAGATTTCTATAATCTATAATAAGAGTATAAGTACAGGAACATCAACAACAACAACAACAACAACAACAACAACAACAACAACAACAACAGCAGCAGCAACAGTAACAACTAAAGCAGACTTCTTTAATCTATAATAAGAATATTCCTTACTAAGTACAAGAACAATAACAACACCAGCTGCGGGAAGAACGACAGCAAGAACATTTACAATAGCAGCAACAACAGCAACAACTAAGGCAGGCTTCTTGAATCTATAATAAGAGTATGCCTTACTAAGTACAAGAACAACAACAACAATACCAACTGCAGGAACAACGACAGCAATAACATCTACAATAGCAGTAGCAGCAGCAATAGTAACAACTAAAGCAGTCTTTAATCTATAAGTGTATTCCTTATCAAGTACAAGAACATCATCAACAACAACAATAACAGCTGCAGGAACAACGACAGCAATAACATCTAGAACAGTAGCAGCAGCAGCAGCAGCAGTAAGAGCAACGACAGCAATAACATCTACAACAGCAGCAGCAACAACAGTAACAACTAGGGCAGACTTCTTTAACCTATAATAAGAGTATTTCTTACTAAGTACAAGAACAACAACACCAGCTGCAGGAACAACGACAGCAAGAACATCTACAACAGCAGCAGCAACAGTAACAACTAAGGCAGACTTCTTGAATCTATAATAAGAGTATTCCTTACTAAGTACAAGAACAACAACAACAACACCAGCTGCTGGAGGAATGACGGCAGTAATATCTTCTATAGTAGTAGTAGCAGCAGCAATAGTAACAACTAAAGCAGTCTTTAATCTATAAGTGTATTCCTTACTAAGCACAAGAACATCAACTACAACAATAACAGCTGCAGGAACAATGACAGCTGTAGGATCTAGGACAGTAGTAGCATCTGGAGCAGTAGCAGCAGTAGCAACTGGGGCAGTCTTCTTTAGTGTATACTTCTTTTATTTCTTTCTTATTATACTTACTATTGTACCACAACCACCAGCAGCGGCGGCGGCGGCGTCGGTATAACTACCGAGCCAGCCAGCGATAACATCTACAACAGCAGCAGCAGCAGCAACAGTAACAACTAAAGCAGTCTTCTTTAATCTATAATAAGTATAAGCAGTTTTCTGGTGTCCTGATATCCTCATTTTGCTATAAAACGCAACAAACCTTTCTACAGAGACTTAAAGACATACGAGTATATTGGATATTCGAATTGCAAATCCTGTTTTCTCATTTATATAAATTCTGTTTATTAAAAAAACTGATACATCTCAAACATAAAAACTGAACAAATTTCACAACTTTAAACTAAAATTCAACAAACGTCAGACCAATTTAATAGTATCTAAACGTTTTAATCTCTTTATTTTTCGTATAAATATCCGTATTTCAGTGAAATAAATTTTCGGGATTATAATGTCATTGATGTCTTATCAAACACACTATTTTCTATAAAGTTTTTGTAAACAGATTTGTCGCATTTGGAGATAACGCTTTTCAACAACTGCATGCTGCTAAACAAAAAACGACGACGAGAACATTCATTTAATTTGTAATTTGGCGATAGACTGCTCTAATTAAATTGCAGAAAATGCATTATAGAATACTTTGACTACCGTTAATGGGATAGTGCTCCTTGAAGTAGTGTGAATTAACCAGTAATCATAGAACAAAAGAACACAGTGGTAGGTTGTCTTGAGCTTCTGGAACATCTGGTATACCCAGTAAACAAGTAATAACAATAACAATGATTTGTTCTGGTATACGGCACACTTTCTCGAACTATCTCATCTGAAATAGAATGCATATTTCACAAAGAATTATTAAAATGCAACACTGCCTACTGCAATTTTAGTTCGATTATCATCCATCTACTTTCAATATAGAAAGCACCTATTTGTTCCGATAGCAGAGTGGGTCTCACGAAGTTGTTAACCGCTCACAGTAATCGGATTTGCGTTTTTTGTTATTCTCACCTATTGATTCATATGACTAATGAGTGAAATTTTGATAGCTATTAAAAAACAGTAAAAGTGGTATCAAAATAGAATGACGATAGTATAGGCGAGATCGAATGTTCAGTTCTTGTTCGTTTATACAGAGTTTGATGATGGCGAATTATCAGGACTGATTTTTCTCGTTAAAATGAACACAAACAATAGTAGTAATAGTAGTAGTAGTAGTAGTTATAGTCTTTGATGAATTACTCAAAAATTATTTAAGATATAGACCTCGAACTTGGTCGAATTCCCCATTAATAACTATCTACATACATATACATGGGGTTTTTAAACTTTTTTAATAATATCAATAGTTGATAGAACAAAAAAAATAAGACGTTTTTTTCCTCTGGACCATGAGCCTATTGTCATTTGTTTTTGAGATACAGGAAGGCAAAGTAATTTTTTAAAATCAAATCTTAGTCATATCTGTTCCAAAAATCAATGCGATGTATTGAAATTTGTTACAAGTAAGTTTCTATGAGTTCTAAATATATCAGTGTCATTAGTTCCTGAACAGTTTTCCTAGCAAATGCTAGAGGTCGCTACCTACGACCTTACACAATAACGTTTTATGACTATTTTTTTTTTAGGTTAATTTTTTTTACGGTGTAGGTATGCCATATACTGCAATATAAAATTTCACTTTAGTTATAGAGATACTATTGTCGAGATCGCTGAAAACACACCGTTTTTGATAAAAGCGCAACTGACTGTCACAAAATTAATCAGCTTCTACCCGTAATATTCAGGGAGTACAGAAACGAATGGTCTTAAAAGTGTGGTCCATCCTTGGATGGAAATAAACTGATTTAGATTAAGTTGCCTTAGGATAAGTTTGCTTAGAAGATTCATAGAAAGTTGTTAGTAAATATTAAACTGGAAAAAATAACTTTCTGATGACAAATCACTTTTTAAGCAAGCTAAATTGTACTAACTTAATCTATATTATTACATACTCTAGGCATCAGAGGATCTCTCAATAAATGGGTGGAATCTTTTTTACACAACAGGAAAATTTCAGTAAAATTAGGTAACGTTAATTCCTCGATAAACTCTCTTAACCTAGGAGTTCCACAGGGAAGTGTGCTAGCGCCATTACTCTTTATTTTATTTATCAACGATCTAGATGCTCATTTGTCGCACACAGCTAGCAAACTGTTAGTAATGTTTGCTGACGATGCTGCCATCTGTGTTAAAGCCGAATCTGTTAGTTTGCTGCAGCAGTACGTGAATATAATTCTCACACATTTTCACGCTTGGTGTGCATCGAATAAACTTATTATGAACGCAAGTAAAACTAAGTATGTTATATTTCGTAAGGAGCTCTTGTCCTTGACAAACTTCACGCTATCAATAAATAATGAAATAATAGACAATGTTACTTGCGCAAAATTTCTGGGACTGCATTTAGACAAGGACTTGTCCTGGCCTAAACACATTGAGTATGTTGTAGCAAAACTAAATTCTTCGTATTATGTTATCAGAAACCTTAAATCTACTGTTGACAGGAAGTATCTACTAAATGTTTACTATGCATTGGTATACTCGCATATAAAATACTTAATCTTGTATTGGGGTCAATCGAAGGAGATACACAGAGTCTTCATATTACAAAAAAGAATCTTACGACTCATTTTTTCATATCAACCGCTTGAATCATGCAAGCCATTATTCAAAGCAAATAAAATACTAACTGTGTCATCCGTTCTTATTTATGAAGCAGCCTTATTTGTTAAGAAAAATTCAAATTTATTTCCCTGTCGTACCACGATTCACAATCACAATACAAGATGTGCAGCTAATATTTTCACTGATAAATTTAGATTATCTCTCTATAAGACAAGTGCGTATTATACATGTAGTACAGTTTATAACAAACTACCTCTAACAATAAGAAATCTAACCAGTGTCTCTAAATTCAAAAAAGAACTTTTAGAATTTCTTTACGAAAGGAGCTTTTACACTGTGAAGGAATTCTTAGATTCCTATACATGATTCGTATTGTCTTAATAATTCAAAAGTTAGTTATAAAAAATCAGTTGTAGCGCCCCATCCACTCAAGCATTTTGCAATCTTGCAGGGAAAATCCCAAGAGATACAATAAACTTCTAGAACCTGTTCAAAATTAATAAGTATAGAAGGCCTTCGCAAGCCCCTCGAAGCTTTTAAATATTTTAGCTACTCACAGAAGATCTCGAAATCGTTGCTAAGTAAGGCAAAGTCTAAAAGACAGTAATATAGGTAATTACACTCGAAGTGTCGTCAAAAACGTTAAGTCCAATGTGGCTTAGATGAAAGCCTCCAGGAAACCTTGTCATCCCGAGGGTGTACCAGAGTGGAAGAAGGCAACGAAACAAATTAGATCGTTTCCCACATTTCTAGCAATCTACCTCGTCTCCTACACAATACGATTAAGATGGCGCCGTTGCCGAACGGTTCTCAATGTGCTGTGTGTAGTACATGTAAATTAACGACGAAGCAAAGTGATATAACAATAAAATGTGCTGGATTTTGCAGAAGTGTATTTCATCCTCAGTGCATTATGTTGAAGGATAGTGATGCTCGTGTTTTAAGTAAATACGATGGGTTTGGCTGGACCTGCCTCCCGTGCCGACAACAAATAGCTGAGGGTGAGTCTTTCCGAGAGCTATTAAAAATTATTCTTTAAACAGTACAAAAAAATCAGGAGAAATTACGGGTCTACCAGGATAAACTAGACCTGATTATCACCAATTCAGTTATTAATAATAATCTGCAATCCAATGGTGAAATTCATACAGCACCCGCCACCTACAGTTCAGTAGCGGCAATCAACTCGGGAAATATTCCTACCGCAAAAACATCCACGACCAATAAAACAGAACATTCCCACACAATTACAAAGCATCAGGTAGCCACTGCTATAGTATCGGCAAAACAGCAACTTCAAGAACAAGCAAGAACGACCCTAGCAAAAACAATTAGAACAAAAAACCGGGACATAAACAATTCAACACAAACACAGACTAATCGACCCAATGTCAATGACTCTTCTAATTCAAAAAAGCAATCGGAATAAATTGAAAATTACAGGAACAGCTGATACAGGAAATCTAAAATTTGCAGCTGTAAGCAATATCAAAAAGCGCATGTGGATTCATGTTTCTGGATTCCAAAAGGATATCAACGCTGAAGATGTCACGGAATTATTATCAAATAATTTCAACATGAACGATACTGTGTGTTATAAAATTACGCCGAAGCATAAATCACCAAATTTCAGTTCATTTAAAATTGGAGTTGACATCGCTCTTACAGACCAAATCTTTAATCCTAACCTATGGAACAAGGGTATAACAGTTAGTGAGTTTGACTTTTTTCGTGCAGCGCGAAACAAAGTGCAATATGACAGTGAATCGACAACCGCAATAATCTGCCCCTCTCATGAGCATTAAATATTCTTCTCAAGCCATAAAAGTCCTCCATTTAAATGTACATGGCCTATCAAATAAAATTCCCAAGTTGGAAGTGCTATTGGCTAGTCATAGCCCTCAATTCCTACTCGTTACCGAGCATTGGATGTGTTCAGAGCAATCACTGGTGACAGGAATACTGGGATACTCCCTTGCATCCGCACGTCAACGATCCATGGAGGTGCTGCTATCTTCAACAGAAATGATGTATTGTGTAAACACCTAGATATTAATAAGCAATTGCTGAGTGAATTCAACTGTGAATGTGCAGGTGTTAGTTTTGTGTTCGATGGTAAGAAGACTGCTTTGATTGTACTATACAGATCACCACAATCTGATGTAAAGTTGTTTTTTATTAAACTTAACGATATTCTTGGCGAGTTAGCAAAGACTCATAGATATCTCATTGTTGGTGGCGATCTTCATGTAGATTGGTTAATATATAATAATAACAAATACTTACTGTCTGATATCTTCGACAGCTTTGAATTAGTGTCCCCACTGTCATCTGAAGCAACTAGAGAATTCAAGGATTCAAAATCTCAACTTGATTACATAGTATCGAATATTCCAAATGCTTCTGGATATTGGTCTGTCTGATCATAATAAAGTTCAAATATGTACTTTTGAAATAGCACATAAAAAGCAACCTACAATCACCAAACATTGTTACGTATATAAAAGAAATTT